ATCTTGCCCTATTAAAAAAGGTGTGCCTTCAACCCCAAATACCCCCCACCCCACATGTTGTTTAAAACCCCCTTTATTTAAGGGGGCCAAGTTTGGACAACACTGAAGTAGGCAGAACACCAACATTAGAAGCTCTTGAATCTCTAAAGAATATCTAAAGTTTCACAGATTTAAGTAAGCAGCCAGTGGGAAGAGTGTGGGGAGAGGCAAATTTGCCTTTTTTTATTGAGACTACTACATTTGGCTAATCTAGGCAAGCCCTATAAGTAAGTAAAAATGTAATGTGTCTTCAAAAATTTTTTTTGCTGCTAGAGCTGCTGTGCTGTAACTTACACTTGAGAAGATGCCAGGTAGAAGAGTGTACCCCTAATACATAGGCATGCATCATCCATGTCAAAATTAGCTGCCAGGTTCTCCCCATATTTTTGACTAAGTCGTCCATTCTTAAAAAGGTAGGTTAACTAATAAAATATTAAACATTGAAAATTCTCAATGAAAGTAAAATGCCAACTTGGTTGGGAACAAAACCACCCACAGCATCAAAGAACAGGAAGGACTATGCTGCTGATAAGACCAAATGCTAGGAAAGCAAAAATAGCTTTCCTGCAAGCATATGTTTTGATAGATGAACAGAAGATTCTCACTGGGCACAATGGACACAGAGAATTCAGATAATCAGCTGTTTCAGATGATAAATGGATCAAATAGTTGAAGACACAAATACAGGGATTACTTTTGCTGGATTATTCCATTTAGGAGCATCAATCCTTGCTGTTTTATTCAGCTAGCATTATGCTGTGTCTCCTTACCCACAAAAACAGCATGCTGTTTATTCTGTTAGTTTTCTACAGAGATTACATGTTCCCTGGAGTTAAGGACTTTGTATTCTTGTCAATCTGAATTTGTTTTAATAATCAAAAGGCAGGCTTGTGATATGCAAAAGGGCAACTAACATGCCTAATAGCCTGTGGTGAATCACAATATTTTTTCTCCAGCCTTCCTCTGAAATTCTGTATTCAAAAACAGTCTACCTCAAATTATATGCTTTGAAGAAATGATCTTTTCCAGTATTAAGCTACAGTCCATAACCTTTTCAATATCCACAATAGCATGTTGTATATTCCATCATATCAGGACAGGATCAGGTTGAGGAAAATTGCTATGGGTTTCCACTGGGAGGGAAAGCAATCACTTTCAGGCAGAGCTTAGCCAGTTCCTGGTTAAAACAGAATGCAGGTCTATAGAGTTTTATCTGATTCATCAAGACAACTCTTATGTTCTTAGTTTAGAAGGAAAACCACTTCTTAATGGATGAAAGTATTTGACTAAGTGCCAGATACTATGTGTGACTCCTGGAAGTAAATACTAAAGTCAGCAGTTCCCTTTCTTAAAAACACATTCTTACACATATAATTAGAATTGAAAAATTGGCTACAGTGGAGCTACTTTTTTTCAAATTTAATTGCAACACTGAAAAATCAGCAAGCTGGTTGGACAGGCCTCTCAGGCTGCAACCAGTATGGGTGGCTCCCATTCACAGCCTTTCGCTATTCATTGGAAAGAACTGAAACACTTTTGACAGATGTCCTTTGACATCTTATTTGTAAAAATCAGAACAATATGTATTGTCATTCATTTGTTCACAAGCTTTAAATCTGAATAATAGTTTTGTTTAACTAATCTGCATGTGTGTGTGTGTATCACTTTCTAAGATGCTTTTTTTGTCTTCCCCAAAAAGAAATAACAAAAGAATAAAATTATATGGCTATGCAGAGAATGGAATTTGAAGAACAAAATATGAAATGTGATGCACATGAGTATACACGTATCACCTGCTAGGAACACCTTACAGCAGCCACATCTTTTCCTGGGCTTGTGCTTCTGTGCCATCTCAGGAAAAGACAAGCTCAATACAAAGAAAGGCAAATCAAAACATTTACAACATACAAATCAAAGGTCAAAATCTACCATTTCCTGTCCTTGAGGCAACAAATGAAAACCCTATCCAATTGAGTGGATATGCTAATTGAGCGGACTTAGTTGAAGAGTTGAACTAAATTCAATTGAGTTGAACTAAGAGGATCCATAGTAGAGTTTAGAATGTAGTCAATCATCCTAATCACTTAGTAACCTCACCTTTTATTCAGCATCCTTGCTTTTTTTTACTTGTCTATCCTTGAATGCTTCCATACTTAGTCATCCCTACTTTCCTATCCCCACTCTGGGGAAGCAAAATGTACCTTAACATTAAACAACAGAAAATCAGTTAAGGAGGTACAAATTCCTGGAGATCTTCTTCATATATTAATCCCATAACACAAAACTCTAGCAAAGGTTCAGAATGAAGAGAGGTATCACGTCAAGGCAAACCTTACTTGGTTGGAAACAAAATTCCTCCTTCCTCTTGTGGTAGAGTCACTGCTGACATAAGGTATGAGATACCATTGTTGCCAAACTCTCAAAGCTATGGGGGCCAGTTTTTTTCTGCAAGAGGAGTCCCTCTTGAGCTGTAATAATTTGCTAAATTCTCATAAATACAGTCTATTCATGAAATAGGGAAGTTTTATTGGAGCAGATTCTTCCCTCTCTCTATGGTAGCTTCTAGCATAACAGAAATTGGTTTTAAAAAAAAAAGGCAAAGAAAGAGTCTATTAAAGCTGGAAAAGCACAGAAATTCTCTGCTAGAGTAACTAACATTGCCTAGTGATATTCTCCACTTCACATGTGGGTGATACCATCAAGTCCAACCCCTGACTCAGTGCAGAATCCATGACAGCATCTATGACAGATGACCATACAGTCCCTGTTCAGAGATCTCCAGTGAAGAAAAACACAACACAACATGTAACCGTCTGTTCCACTGGCCAAAAGCTTGTAAGTTGAGGCATCTGTAGCCTGAATATACTTTCTTATAGTTTTAACCCAATGATTCTGGTCCTGCCCTCTGGGGCAATAGAAAATAAATCCCATGTTGTCTTCTAAGTGGCTAAGCCTAACCCTTCACGTAGCTGAAGACTAGTATCATATCTTCCCTTGGTTATCTCTTCTGTAACCTAAACATATCCATAAACTGTTTTTTATATACCTTGGTTTCCAGATCCCTCACCATCACAGTACTCCTCTTTGGAACTTGCTCCAATTTATAACTGCCCTTTTTGAATGGTGGTGACCAGAACAAAACACAGTATTTCAAGTAGGGTCTGACCAGGGCAGAACAGAATGGGACATTTACTTCCCATGATGTGAACACTAGGTCCTGCTAATGCACCCTAAAGTATCATTTGCCTTTTTAGCATCTGCATCACACTGGTGGTGCATATCCAATTTGTGATCAACAAGGACACCCAGAGTCCTTTCACATAAATTGCTGCCAAGCCAGATCTTTCCCATTTACACTTTCCCATTTTTCTCATCCAGATGCAGAACTTTACATTTCTCCATTAAGTTCCATCTTATTCATGTCAGGACACTTTTTTTTTTAACCTCTCTCCTCTTAAGTATTAGCCACCACACCTTTTAGCTCCCTTAAGCATCCACTTAGCTTCTTCATCCAAGTCACTGATAAAAATGTTGAACAGCACAAGGCAGAGCTCTGTGGCACCCCACACCATACTTCCCTCCAAGCTGAAGTGGAGCTATTAAGAGCATTCTTAGGGTGTGGTTATTCAGCCAACTGTGAGTCTGTCTAACAATAGTATCATCTAGTTCTTATTTTACCATTTTATAAAGGAGAATATCATTGGAGACTATTTCAAAGTCTTGGTATACTATGTCTGCAGCATACCTGTGATCTACTAAACTAGTAACTTTATCAAAGGAGATAAGTTTAGTTTGGCACAATTTCTTTGTAACAAACCCATGTTAACACCTGTGTTTACACAACTCACAAACTAAACCATGGTTTACTGAATTAGCATGAATGCTCAAGTTTGTACAGAATGCGGAATCAAAAACTTAGCATACTGGCTGGGTTCACAGAACACAGTGAACCACAAACAATGATATTTTAGCCTACTATATGGTGTGAATTCAGCCACAACCATATAACAGGTATTTTTACATTCATGGGTTTTTTTTCATGTTGGAGGTGATGAATAGCTTAGCTAAATACCTGCTCACCACTTGCTGACTCAAAGTAGAATTAGTTGACCTCTTCCATACCTACTTTTAAACTTTTGATGTCCCTCCCTCTGCCATATAACTTCCATAATCTCCAGCCAACCAACCTATGCAGCTGAGCCCACCTGGTTTAGAGACGACTGATTTAAAGTAATGATTTAGTTAGACTGTACTTAGCAAAGACTGCCACGGGTTAAGTTATGCCCAGCAGCATCCCTGGGTTGAATCCTATGAAAAGAAAGGTGGTAAATTTAGGAAATTAAAACTAGATGGGGTCAGGTACAATTCCTTCTCCTTCCCTCCATGCCTGGCACTGAATAAACCACAGGCAAAGGGACAGGCGACGTTTGCCCCGTCCTTCTCTTCCACTGATTTCTGCCGCAGCGCGTAGGGTGGGAATTGAATGAACCCTCGCGCTGGAAAGAAGCAGGAACAGGAAATGGAATGAAAAGCAATTGAAGGAGCCTAATAATGGCCAATAGTCGAATCAAGTTCCCCAAAATTTGTCTTCTTCCCCCCAGGCGACCGATCGCTACCCCAGCCCAGAGAGCCCTCTCGAACCGAACAGACCATTTAACTTCCTGAGTTTGCGGGGCGCTACAGGCGAGCCTCGCGCCCTACCCGCCCGCCGCTCTGTTCGGAAGGCTGCTTCACCTGACTTCAACAGGTAGATCCCTCCTCGGTCATGAGGGCCCCGAAGCAGCGTCCCATGCGGGTTCTCCTTCCTCCGTCCCCCGTCAGGCGCTTCCCACCACTCACCATGGCTGCCGCAGACCCGCTTCCCGGGAGGCTCCTCCCCCCCCCCCCCCCGCGAGGGGGGGCTCTCCCCCTTCCCCCCGGCGCCACAGGTGAATTTCCAGCCGCTCGCCCTGCTTTCCCATCATGCCCTAAACTGAAAGTTCTTGACTCCTCCTCCGCCGCCCGGCCTCCCGTGTCACTCAGGCAACCGCCCCAGGGGCACTTTGGGGGCACGCGGGGCAGGGCGCTCCGCGCTCTCCCGAGTCTGGATTGGAAATTTTACGTGCAGCGCCTGCCTGCTGCTGTTCGTAAGCGAAGTTTCCCCAAGAGGAAGCTTTTCGCTGTTCTCTCGCAGGGCGCTCTGCAGCAGAACATAAACGTAAGGACGCCCTCGGACCCGAGGAACTTACAGTCTCGATTTAGCTCCAGGGAATAGGAAAGGGAGAAATGCAGGTGTACGTGCGCCGCAGATGAAGGGCCTTCTCCAGACAGATAACCTAAAGTATGCATCCTGGGATGTCTTTCCCTTGTACCCGTATATATCTGCTTTAGCTTTAAGACTGGCATCTGAGTTTCTAGTGGGGTTGGATCCCAGCTTGGCTGGTTTCAAAAACAGTTCGATGAATTCCTGGAAGTTATGGGGATCAATGGCTATTAGCCTTGATGGCATTGTGACTGCCTGAAGGCCATCTGCTGGGAGACCGACCAGTGAGCTTGCTCGTGCAGTTGGTTGGCCACTGTGAGAACAGACTGCTAGACTAGGTGGGCCCTGCAGGGGTCCAGTACAGGAAGGCACTGCTTATGTTCTGATCAAAGAACTTAGGTTGGTAAATGCCAGAGATGGGGACTTTTTTTTTTTTTTTGAGGAAACCAGTATTTCTTGAACGTGCTTCACAGGAAAATGCACTTAACTGTTGGTGTTTGGGAAATTCCCAAATGCAATCCTACACATATCTGGACTATTTCAAAAGATGCTATAGTTGTGCTATTGAAGAACTATAATGTATTACTGTCACTTTAATGTTATTAATTGCTTTAAATCTGAAATTTTAATGTTATATTATAGAAGTAAGGAATCTAGTAACCTCTGATAATTAGGATTACAGTTCCCGTAGTCCCTTGATTGTTACCCGTACTGGCTGAAGTGATGGAAACTGAAATATATTTGTATTTTCAGTCCACCTTGTGAGGATAAACACCCTAAGTGATTAGTTATATTATATTTATTACTGTTACCATTGGAGTAGCCCTGAGCAGGTATCCAATTACAGCGGCATTCCAAAAACATCTTTACGAACACAAGAGGTTCTGTTTTGGCTCTGAGTAACATAAGCGATCTCTGCTTTCCCAGCTCAGTCTGCGTGTGGTCTCAGCACAACTCTTCTGATGAGGGCAAAATAGCAACTATATTTTATTTGGGCTTATGCCATGTGGCCAAGCTTGTTAAGATAAAAGGGTTTGCTTTAACTTAACTTTTGTGGTTTTAAAGCCATGGCTACAAACTGGTCACAAATCCAGTTGAACTGGATTTCCTTTTTGAAAGTGGTTATTTTTTTTCATTCCTTTCATATTAAACATAGTTGTAACCATAGTACAATTCTAGGCAACTTTTTTGCTGTTTGGAGAAGTTATCAAAATAGCTGCTACTTATTACAAAACATCCAAGCTTGTGAGGTTGCCCCATCTCACAGACTGCTCACAGCTGTCTTAGCTTATCTCCCCACCCCACCCATACTTTTTAGTTACTTGCACCCATTTTCAGATGAAGCATGGAGTTTCAACCAACCACCAGTTTTATTTTTTAAGAATGCCTGTGATAACTCTGGGGCCCAAATTCATTCTGGAAAATAAAAACAGAACTGGAGCTGGTCTTTGCGGCAGGCAAACTTGCTCTCTATTTGCTTAGACTCATAATCAAAGAGTTGAAGGGGGTCATTCAGGCCATGAATTCCAACCACTCCCTACATGCCATGCAGTAATCTACACGGAAGTATCTACTTAGGAGAGTGCATGAAATTGGAAAAATACTTTGCTTCAAACCTGGAACAAAATCATACCTGGAGATTCTGCTGAATCCGTTTGGCTGCTTTACCGTTTGGCAGAACTCAAACCTGCAATAGGTTTGCTGATCTGGGTTTGGGATAGAAAAAAATCTGGGCATGGATAGCAGGGAAAAATCGGTGCGTGTTGCCCCTCTTTTTCCTCAATATCTCCCAGTGCAGCATATCTCATGACCCTTCCCCCCAGTCTTCCCAGTGCCTTCCCTTTTCTCATCTGCCATCACTGTCCCTGCCCCAGCATGACATCTCCCATGAACCTGGCCCCATCTTCCAGATGCCTTCCCTTTCCTCCCTCTCCTCAGCTGCTGTCAAAGGCCCAGGGTGCCATACTCCCTGAGCAGCTGTCCCGATCCTTCTAGGGCCTTCCCCTCCTTCTCCTGCCTCTGCTCAGCCGCTTATGTTCTTGGCTTTTTCCATGTCTTCTCCCCAAACCCTTTTTTGTCTGGAACAAAACAGCCCCCTTTAATTCCAAAACAAATGAAAATGCTTGTTTCAATTTGTATAACCCCCCTCCCCCCACACACACACAATTCAGCTGTTCCGTGTAGGGAATGACTCAGTTTAAATTAGGATAAATGCAATCTAAGACCCAGGATTGCATATGGCCCACAAAAAGCTTTGGGTGGACCTCTCACAACTCCTCCAAAGTTGCCATCTGATCATAATTTTTAATGTGATCAAATAGGGAAATTGTCAAATTTATGGTAAAAACAGCCATAGAGAGCTATTGTGAATTGTGTCGGTATAAAGATTTAGTTGCATTTCCTTTTTTTCTTATGCCTTTAATTTCTTTGGCTTACTATTGTTTTCTCCTTTTCTATACTTTGTGTAATATTGTTTACCCAAAAAGGGAATAACATGATTGGGATGGATGGATGCATGGAGGGATGGATGGATGGATTAGAGGTGTGAACAAACCAGAAGAAAAAAATATTTCAAACCTGGAATAGATCATCACGTCTTGAAAGTTCTGCTGAACCATTTTGGGTCAAAGGGTTAGTCAGAAATAAAACCCAGAAAGATTCAGTTGTTCTGGGTTTTTAACAAACCAAAATCAAGACAATGAGTAGAGCAAGGCTGGTTAACCTTGCCCTTTCTGCCCCCTGAGTTGATAGTGCAACATATCTCACCACCCTCCCCATTTTTTCTGGTATCTTCCCTCCGTCCTCTGAGGATGAAGGGGAATGTTGGCCATGTTCCAGAAGGTACTTCAGGCAACAAGACCACTTGGTGATCTTGGGTCACATCATGCATTAACTGAAAGCAGCCATTCACCACCTGATGCCTTCTATCATCATCAGCCAACATGACCACACTGTGTGATTTATATTTTAACACACCTTCTACTTGAGGAATTCTGCCCTAGAATCTTCTGCAGATAGAGGCTCCCAGTCAGGCTAGGCAATGATCAAAGTTGCTTCCTAATATTCTGTGTGTTCTGGAACATGACTGCTGCTTTCCTGCAATCCAGCAAGGCACTGCTTATGTTCTTTTATTCTAATGCAATTAAACTTTTAAAATAAATGAGCTAATGACATATGGAAACTTGGAGCATACTTGTCTCTAGTACTTCAGCTTGGGCATGGCCGAAGGAGGAGGAAAGGAAAGATGGGGGAATGGAGGGTGAACTAGCAGGATATACTGCATTGAGATGTCAGCAGTGGCTAAGGGGAGAGAGGGAAAGGAGGGGGCTTATTAGATTGAACAGGACATGATCAGATGCATTGGGAGCTGCAGAGGGAGATGGGGAAACAAGGGGTGACATGCACCAACATTGTCCTTCCCTCCCTCCCTCCCTTCCCCCCCAAAGTTGACAATGTCTTTGCCTTTTTCCATACTCCCCCGCCCCCACCCCAATCTGGAAATGTTCCATTTGGGCCATGCACAAGCCAAAGTACTAGAGACAAGTATGCTCCAAGTTTCTGTATGTCATTAGCTCGTTTATTTTAAAAGTTTAATTGCATTAGAATATAAGAACATAAGCAGTGCCTTGCTGGATTGGACTCCTGCCCCATCTAGTCCAGCAGTCTGCTTTCCCAGTGGTCGGCCAACTGCACGAGGAAGCCCACTAGTCTCCTAGCAGATGGCCTTCAGAGGCAGTCAAATGCCATCAAGGCTAATAGCCATTGATCCCCATGACTTCCAGGAATAGGTCCAATCGTTTTTTGAAGCCAGCACATCTTGTAGTAGCAAATTCCAAAGTTGAATTATGCATTGTGTAAAATGTCCTTTTGTTTGTCCTGATTTTTCCTAGATTCAATTTCATTGATCTCTGATGCTAATATTTTGGGAAGAGGAAAGTAGCTTCTCCTTTATCTACACCATGCATAATTTTGTATACTCCAATCATGTCCCCTCTTGGTTGCCTCCTTTCTAGACTATAAAGCCCCAAGAATCGCAAGCTTTCCTCACGGGAAAGCTACTCCAGCCCCTTGATCATCTTAGTTGCCTACTCTGAATCTTTTCTAGCTCCATTATATCCCTTTTGAGGTATGGTTATCAAAACTGCACACAATATTCCAGAAGTGGGTGGACCATTGATTTATGTAAGAGCATTATGATATTGGCATCTCTATTTTCAGTGCTGTTTCTTAATATCCCTAACATGCTGTTGGTCTTTTTTTTACAGTGGATGCACACTTCATTGAACTGTTCACCATTACTCCAAGATCTCTTTCCTCATCAGTTACTGCCAGCCTTGATCCCATTACAGGTAGTCCTTGCTTAACAACCACAATTGGGACCAGCAATTCCATTGCTAAGCGACATGGTTGTTAAGCAAGACATCACATGACCACAACAGACTTATGACCTCACTTCCACTGCAGTAGTTAAGCGAATCCATGGTTGTTAAGCGAGACATCACATGACTGTAACTTGGGATTTTACTGCCGGCTTTCCATTGACTCTGCTTGTCAGAAAGTAGCTGTGAAGTGTGCAAATGGCAATCATGTGACTGTGAGATGCTGCAATGGTCATAAGTGAGAGGACCAGTCATAAAGTTACTTTTTCAGCACCATCATAACTTTGAACAGTTGGTAAACAGGGTAGTCATTAAACGAGGCCTACCTGTCCCCCACAGGTCATCAAAGAAGCAGCAAAATTTACAGGAAATATTTTTATTGTACAATAGTCAAAGTTTTTTTTTTCATTTTTTAAGACAGAAAAGGGAACAACAAACAGTAATAACAGCTTCTCAGATAATGAAAGATACAATGTTTAACAGGAATACAGTTATCAGACAAAAATACATTAGTACTTTTTGCTCCCCCATGAAGAAAGACTTCAGGGGAAAAAACATAGTAAATATGTAAAATTTGAATGACTGCACATTTAAAATACAGGGCCAATTTTTGTTACAATGTACAGCATGATCCTTATCCTCTCCCCTGTGCACAAAAGCATTTTATATCAAAAGCAAGCAATAGAGTTTGTATAGCTCTATATCTCATCTGAAGAACTTCAACATGGAATATATAAACAATATAGTGTTTTGCCAACGTTTCTATGTATCTATTTGAACCCAGTACTTTAGTAATAATAACTGCTACCTGCCCTACCCCCAACCAACCAGCAAAATATTCTTCAGTCATGGAACAAATTTGGCAAAACAATGATGGATGATTTTGAGTGGAATTGCCAAATCTTTCAATGTATTTTTGTGCAATTCATACAACTAATAAGTGAACACAGCAGGCAGCCTCCTCTATATGCAGAAATATCGAGACTGGGTTGTTCTCTGCTGTCAAGTTATCCCAAGTTTCCAAGGATGTTAAGAGGGTTGGGTGAAGAAGAATGCAAATGTTTTTGTGTAAGTAATGCTTTTCTTAACACAGATGCACATTTCATGTAAACTTTTATTTATGGGTGGGACAGAAGTGAAATAATTCTGATTTAATCCAAAGTTCTCCTTTTTATACAGTATAATAAGGCAAGTAAGTAAAACCACGTTACCATTTTAACAAAACCATTTTTCTGTGATTTACTTTATTTGTATAGTGATATTGCAGAAATGTTTGATTCCTCCTTTACATTTTTATCTCTGCCCCTCCAACAAAGTTAATATCAAGTAAGAAGCTTAGGAACAGTAATTCACTAACAATAACATTGATTTATACCCATCTTAAATGATTTTCCGACACTAACACTGATTCACCATTAAGTAATCCCTCAGATTATACTTCCCTTCCTAATATGCATTGCCCTAATCAATGTTTTTTAAAAAAAATTATTTGGGGCTTATGTTTTAACATGATGATATATCTTCAAGACTAGCCTAAAACAACTTTCCTTGAGAAAGATGGAGAAACATTTCTCCCTCACTTATTTTTATTAAGTATCCCCTAAAAGAAATGGCTAATTACGCTATTTGCACAAAAAATATATATATTTTAATTGGAGGGCAGATTACACAGTCTAGCTGTGCTACATTTTGAAATGAATATTTCCCATCACTTTTAATTAGAAATGACTGAATTTCATCAATGATGATTCTACACCAGATTTTATAAAGCTATATTTAGTCACACAGTTTAACCCTAAACTCAAAATGAAAAGAACAGCAACCTGAAATTTCTCTTTACAATTCTATAGTATAGCAAGGTACTTTCATTTTCAAAACTAATGACAAATTTTAATGTACACATTTTTTTCCATTACCTATTCCTATCAATAGGAATTTTTACTTGCAGGAGCCCAGATGCAAGCTTCTGGTACAATGGTAGTTATTGCTGAAATTGAATTAAAAATCTGATTTGGGACTGACTTTAGAGGACATTAAGATGATATCTGCTACACCACAAATATGCCTTTTGTTCAACATATATTTACTGTCTATTTCACTGAGCCTCCACTGTACCATTTTACTACATAGAAAGAGTATGATTCAACACCTCATTTAGCTTCAGCTGTTATGGAAAACATTTTTATTATGATTTTGGTATTTTGCCAGGTGCAAAAACAACAACAAAAAAAACCCCTCTCAGTAGACAATTTAAAACTGGAACAACATCAAATCTAACAAAGAAACAAAATAGTCCAAAACACACTATCAATGCTCCTACCCTTATTGCAGTGCTGCTGGGAAAGAAATTTTTTTTTCCCTCCTGCTGGCAAAGTTATATTCAAAGTCTGTGAGCCGTTATTCACAGTGACTATTCATAAGACAAAACTAGTCTACGGGGACACTTTACAAGGAATACATTACTACTATTTGAACATGTTTTGTTGTCACTATACTGTACTCATTTTAACCCTTAGCCACAGTACAATATCATTTCAGCAGAGAAAGCACACTGAATGCTACAAGTAAATCAAGCTATGAGTGGTCTTCCTAGGCCAGATATTCTGTTGTATGTAAACCTTCCTGGTGTTCACTCCACAGGCTATTAACTTGTAGCTGAGCACCTTCCAGAGTCTTCATAAGCCCTAAATGAGGATTCTGTCCCACAAAACGAAGATGTCCATCTTAGGAAAATGATATTCTCAAAGTCAAGCAGTTGGCATGTGTGGCAAGAGTTATGAAAGGGAGTATATCCATTTGATGCATACAGTATACTATTCCAGAAAGCCCAGATCAACGGGAAGCATATCCAGTTGCAAGGCTACAACCCACTACTGGTGTCATGTCCCAAATCTAAAAAATAAGAAATAAAAACAGACACATGATCCACATCCTGAACAAGCAATGGCGGCGGGGGGGGGGTAATTTTTAAATTTTTAAATGTTTTTTATATATTTTGATGGGGGTAGGTATGGCAAGTAAACTTAAGTCAATGGGGTACAAGGATCCTTCATTTAAAGACAACTTTGCCACATCAGAGCATTTATATCGTACCTTCTGTCATGTATAGACTTCTAGAAGGGACTCAAAGACAGCCCATTATAATAGAATAAAACAGGAAATAGAATATCTCAGCAGATAAGCAATATGTAATGTATTTAACTAAGCTCTGATTAATAAATAAAAAAGGCAGTCTGCACTGACTCTGATTGTGTAAGTGAAGTCAAATCCCAACCTACAAGTTGTGTGTAAAATGTGGTGCTTCATAAGTTAGAAAAGGCAAATTTTATGTCTGAAAACAGCTCTATTTTCCCCCCAATGTTCATAAAATACCTAAATAGGGAGAGAAGACAGAGAGAAACGAAGTGAAGAATATGGAATAGTTTGTCCACCTATAGTCCTGACACTCCCCCCAATGCCATAAAATTGATGGAGATAGCCAACAGGATCAGCATTGATGTTCATCAATTTCATCATGCTGCCACATAAGTGTACTCCATCCCCCAATTTTCAATAAGATGTGCCTATATGAACCTTTCTCTACCTTCTCCCAAATTTATAAAGTCTATATTGGCAGAAAAACTTTTAACTATTAGAAATTTACCCAGATTGCAATTATGAAGTTGCAGCATCCTGCAGTCATGTGATTGCAATTTGTGACCTTCCCTGCCAGCTTCCCACAATCAAAGTCAATGGGGAAGCTAGCAGGAAGTCAGAAGTCACGATCACATGAAGTCCTCACTTAACCCACATGGCCCTTGTTTAATAATGGCAACCAGAACTGCCGTCACTAAGCAGCGCAATCACGTGGTTTTTCGACTTTTGACTGCATCACTTAACAACAGTTTCCAGTCCCAATTAGCATTGTTAAACAAGGACTACCTGTATTACCTTTAAAGCACCATGCCTTGTCACAACTGAATCTGCCCATTGCAGTAATTGTGATAAAGCCTGTTAAGGATTCCCCCTTATCATCAGGTGAATGGCATGCATCAGACAATAAACTTTCTCAGTGGTAGCTCCTACCTTTCTTATATTTTAGAAACACCTCAATGGAATATTATTCCAATGTGTTTTTGGCCCTTATTTTATTTGGGGCTTATGATTATATGAGTGATCGTCTGTGATGTGTTTTCTTGTTTTGCCTCGTTCCCTGTCCAGAGTCCCTGTGATGGAATGGACTTATGAAGGCCAGGCTTAGGGAGATAAGCGTGTTCTTAGCCCCCAACAGGAGCGTGGGAAGTTCAAGAAGATGAGGCT